CTCAGAGTAGTGGGATTATAGGCATGAATTTCTTTTTGTTTTTATTTTTGTTTTTTTTTTTAAATCAGTTTATTTTTAAAACTTTTTTTTTTTCTGAGACAGTCTCACTATGTTGCCCTCAGGAAAGTGCTGTGACATCACAGCTCACAGCAATCTCAAACTCTTGGGCTGAAGTGATTCTCTTGCCTCAGCCTCCCAAGCAGCTGGGACTATGGGCACCTACCACAACACCCAGCTATTTTTGTTGTTGTTGTTGTTGTTTAGCTGGCCTGGGCCAGGTTTGAACCCGCCAGCCTGGGTGTATGTGGCTGGCACCCTACCCACTGATCTATGGGCAACACCTTATTTATTTATTTATTTATTTATTTTTATTTTTTTATTTTTTTTGAGACAGAGCCTCAAGCTATCACCTTGGGTAGAGTGCCATGGCTTCACTGCTCATAGCAACCTCCAACTCCTGGGCTCAAGCGAGTCTCCTGCCTCCGCCTCCCAAGTAGCTGGGACCACAGGCGCCTGCCACAAGGCCCGGCTATTTTTTTTTGGTTGCAGCCATTATTGTTGTTTGGCGGGTCTGGGCTAGATTCAAACCCGCCCACCTTATTTATTTATTTATTCGTTTATTTATCAAGACAGTGTCTTACTTTGTCACCCTGAGTGGAGTACCATGGTGTCATAGCTCTCAGCAACCTCAAGCTCTTGGACTCAAGCAGTCCCTTTGCCTCAGCCTCCCAAGTAGCTGAGACTACAGGTTCCTGCCACAAGGCCCAGCTATTTTTTAGAGATAAGGTCTCACTGTTGCTCAGGTTGATCTTGAACTCCTGAGCTCAGGCAGTCCATCCACCTCAGCCTCCCAAAATGCTAGGATTACAAGTGTGTAAGGCTACCTTTTAAAAAACAAGGATTGCTCACCAATAACCTGTAACTTCATAAGCTTTTGGTGTCTGAGTCAGTGCTATTCAGTTGTAGTTACTGTAGTAATGGAAGTATGCTGTATCTATACTGCTCAATAATATGAGAATTTGAAATGGGGCTAATATGACTGAGAAACAGAATTTTTTTTTTTTTTTTGAGACAGAGTCTTAAGGTGTCACCCTAGGTAAAGTGCCATAGTGTCACAGCTGACAGCAACCTCAAACTTTCAGGCTTAAGCAGTTCTCTTCCCTCAGCCTCCCAAGTAGCTGAGATCATAGGTGCCCGCCACAACACCTGGCTACTTTTTGGTTGTAGTTGTCATTATTTGGTGGGCCTGGCCTGGATTTGAATCTGCCAGCTCTGGTGTATGTGGCTGGTGCCCTAGCCTTTGGAGCTACAGGCACTGAGCCAGAGAAACTAAATTTATTATTTTAATTTTTTTTAATTAATTTATTTTTTGAAGCAGAGCCTCAAGCTGTCGCCCTGGGTAGAGTGCTGTGTCATCACAGCTCACAGCAACCTCCAATTCCTGGGCTCAAGCGATTCTTCTGCCTCCACCTCCCAAGTAGCCGGGCCTATAGGCACCCGCCACAATGCCTGGCTATTTTTTGGTTGCAGCCGTCATTGTTCTTTGGCAGACCCAAGCTGGATTTGAACCCACCAGCTCAGGAGTATGTGGCTGGCGCCTTAGCCACTTGAGCCACAGGCGCCTAGCCGTATTATTTTTACTTTTTTTGAGAGAGAGTCTCACTCTATTGCTCAAGGTTAGAGTGCAATGGCGTCAGCCTCACTCACAGCAACCTCAAACTTCTGAGTTCAAGCAGTCCCCTCCTGGCTCAGCCTCCCTAGTAGTGTTTCCATCTGAAGAGGGTCCTGCTGCCTGTCACTGTCAGCTAATACACAGAGATAAGGATAGGTCCACCAAACTATTTGTCAGAAGGCCAGGATTCTGGAGTACAGTGAGAGTAGCTTCTCTAAGACTGTTCTGCTCCAACATTTTAGTTTTATACATTTGAGTTTAAAGTGAAGACCATGTTAACCTATATCTTAAACAATAACTGGCAGAACCCATGATCCATAGTAAACAATATTCAGTATAACTTGTGACCCAAAATAACAGTCCAACTCAAAAGTTAATCTCGGCTCAGCGCCTGTAGCTCAAGCGGCTAAAGCATACACATATACCAGAGCTGGCAGGTTCAAATCCAGCTCGGGCCTGCCAAGCAACAATGACAACTACAACCAAAAAACAGCTGGGAGTTGTGGCGGGCACCTGTAGTCCCAGCTACTTGGGAAGCTGAGCTGAGGCAAGAGAATCACTTAAGTCTAAAAGTTTGAGGTTGCTGTGAGCTATGATGCGAGGGCACTCTATCCAGGGCAACAGCTTGAGGCTCTGTCTCAAATAAATAAATAATAGGGTGGTGTCTATGGCTCAGTGAGTAGGGTGCTGGCCCCATATGCCAAGGGTGGCAGGTTCAAACCCAGCCCTGGCCAAACTGCAACAAAAAATAGCTGGGTGTTGTGGCGGGTGCCTGTAATCCCAGCTATTTGGGAGGCTAAGGCAAGAGAATTGCCTAAGCCTACAAACTAGAGGTTGCTGTGAGCTGTGTGACAACACAGCACTCTACCGAGGGCGGCAAAGTGAAACTCTGTCTCTACCAAAAAAAAAAAAAAAAAGGCTCAAGTGGCTAGGGTGCCAGCCACATACACCTAAGGTGGCAGGTTCGAATCCAGCCCAGTCCCGCCAAACAACAATGACGGCTGCAACCAAAAAATAGGCGGGTGTTGTGGTGGGCACCTGTGATCCCAGCTACTTGGGAGGTTGAGGCAGGAGACTCACTTGAGCCTAGGAGTTGGAGGTTGCTGTGAGTTGTGATGCTACGGCACTCTATCCAGGGGAACAGCTTGAGGCTCTGTCTCAAAAAAAAAAAGTTAATCTCCTAAATCAATCTACCTAAACTACTAAAGATAGGTATCTTTAGGGTGAGAGCGAAATTTACGGAACAGTAAGAATGGGAGACAGGTGGTGAAAGGCAGACCAGACTTGCTATGTCATGTCTGCCCTAGTCTGACAGACTCCGTCGTATTCTCACTGACTATTTGGGGGAAAAATGCTGATAAGGATTTTTATAAATCAAATGCTTTTGATAGTGGGGACTGTAGGTGCTCACTACAACACCAGCTGATTTTTCCATTTTTTTTAGTAGTGATGGGAGTCTGGTTCTTGCTCAGGCTGGTCTGGAACTCCTGAGCTCAAGGAATCCTCCTTACTTGGCCTCCTAGAGTGCTAGGATTACAGGCATGAGCCACCTTGACTGGCCTAAAATTTTAGTTTTAATAATTAAAATTTAAGTTGCGTGAGTAGCTAATGGCTACCTTACTAACTAAATAGTACAGCTCTAGATCATCTCAGCAGTTTCTACATTCTCCTCTTGAGGTAGACAGATGTTTTTCTTTGTATGTTTATACCACACAGGGCTGTGGTTTTATCTTTTTGCTTTGTCCTGTCAGTGATGTAGATGGTAGGATCTACAACTGTTTCTAAGAGGATTTTGAAGGAGGATAGGACTACTTAGTACTCCCCTTGGGATTAGAGATCGGGAGCTTCTCTGGAGGAGCAGCTTTTGGGCAGCTATTGGGAACCTTCTGGAAGTAGAGACAGAATAAATACTGTTATGATGAATCAGTTTCTAAATAATGAGAGGTGTTTTCAAGGGAGGGGTTTATACTTTGTGAAAAATCAACTCAGAAGTTTGTTTCCTGGGTGGCACCTATGGCTCAGTGAGTAGGGTGCTGGCCCCATATACCGAGGGTAGTGGGTTCAAACCCGGCCCCAGCCAAACTGCAACAAAAAAATAGCCGGGCATTGTGGCAGGCGCCTGTAGTCCCAGCTACTCGGGAGGCTGAGGCAAGAGAATTGTGGTTGCTATGAGCTGTGACGCCACGGCACTCTAGTGAGGGCAACAAACTGAGACTCTGTCTCTAAAAAAATAAAGTTTGTTTCCTTCCCAGATATATCACTTGTTATCCTTTTTATACTCTTATATCATACTCTTGCATCTGTGGCATCTGAAATGCTGCAGAAATGCTTCTGAGTTACTGCCATTGATTTTTTTTTTCTTAATCTAACATTACTATAACATAATCCCTTTTTAGACAAGCTTGATGAATTCTCCTTGGATCTTTTGACTATATTCTACTTTCAAATGAATCAGTGATTAGTGCCTTTTCCTTATCAGCATTTTTCCCCCAGATAGTCTCTGTTGCCTAGGATAGAGTACAATGGCACCAGCATAGCTCACTACAACCTCAAACTCCTGGGTTCAAGCATTCTTTCTTCCTCAGCCTTCCAAGTAGCTGGGACTATAGGCGCCTGCCACAATGCCTGACTAGTCTTTCTATTTTTAGTAGAGAAAGTCTTGCTCTTGTTCAGACTGGTCTCAACCTCTTGAGCTCAGTCAGTCCTCCCACCTTGGCCTCCCAGAGCGCTAGGATTATAGGGATAAGCCACTGTGCCAGGCCCTAGCAGCATTTGGGGGGATGCAACAGATACAGCAGTGTATTAGGAATGCTGTTTTGTCTTTCTTTCCCTCCTTCAGTGACAATGGCTTTCTTTGTTAGATTTCTGATCCGTCCGTCTTTGTCCTCTTCCTAGTCTGTCTTTAATTTCTTTTGCAGACACCCTGGCAGGGTTGGCCTCCAACTCATTTCCTCCCAGGCACTTCCTTCATGTGTTGAAGGTGTGCTTTCAGATTCTGATCCGTGTTTTACCCTCTTCCATAAGTTCTCATTGTACTCCTTAGGTAGAGAGGCAGGAAATTACATACAAGCTTGCTGGGAAACTAGGCTCCTTTCCTTTAGCTCCTCAGTAAAGCCTACCAAACATAATCTTAGTTCTGAAAGTTTAGTAACTTTACCAACTCAGGTTTATAACCCACCCGGCCTCTAAAACCTTCTTACAGGAACCATTTTAATTTTATGCTAACCAAGAGGCTACACATGAACTGTTTTCAATGTAACTGAATTTGCTGCACATTTGGGGAAACCACATGGGGAAGCTGACTGTGTTTTCTGCCTTCTGTTGACAGAATGGTACACGAAACTTCCAGGACTTTGACTGTCAGGTAAGGACTGTACAAGTACCATGGAGGCTCTGTACAGGAACTCTGCAATGCTTCCTTTCCTGTGGTGGTGGTCTTGACAAAGTGGATCTCTTATTGTAGCTCATCACGATTCCTTAATGTTCTTTTGGTCATTGAATCATTAGAAATGATTGGTTATCATGTTCAAAAATTGCCTACCAGGTACTTGTTTTATTATTATAAGTTACTGAATTGAGCTACTTCTTTGTGATTAAGATCTCTTTTCCCTTAAATGATATTGTCAAAGGTGGCAAATGGAGGGTCATTACCTCACTGAAGAGAAGGGAGGGGAGGGGCAATTTGGAAGTGGAGAGACTTCTTGACAACTAAATCTTTTCCTAAAAGAAAAAAGGCAAATTGTTATTAATACAAAATGCAAGTTTCGGCTCGGCGCCTGTGGCTCAAGCGGCTAGGGCCCCAGCCACATACACCTAAGGTGGCGGGTTCAAATC